TGAATATTGGCGTCGATCTCACTTAATTTAGTGAAGACGATGTCCTTTTTGTCAGTCGACTGAATCATACCATAGCTGCCGTACATCCCTACTGAGACATCTTCAGTTTCCTCTTCCTTAGGCTGAGACGAAGCCTTCTAAACACATATCCGAAGAAACTTTGCAATTGACCTACACTTTAAACTGTCATTAACGAAAACGAAACCTACTTGAGCTTTTAATTCAGCTATTTTAGCGGCCTTTGCCAGCTTATTTAACTCCTTTTTGGAAAGTTTCTTCTCGGCTCCTTCTGCTACGTCATTCATATCCTTCTCATCCAAAACGACCGACATTTTCACCCTGGAACTATCAGGTAAATAAAAAAATTATTAGCTACATCACACCGAGGTCCATATCTAGGGAGCACAAACTCGCATTAGGTTTTGAGGAAAGTTCTTGCTGTTTCGGACCCTGAAGTCTAAGTCTGCATATCTCGATTCAACCAAACGTTTTCATACGTAGAAGGAATCATTACAATCTACTCTATCTTGTCAACCTTATTAGAGTTCGATCAACCACTTCGTTGCAAGGAGTGGAGTTCTAGAGGCGATGAACTCGGCGAAGGTCGTTTCACCATCATGTTAGATTTCGTAGCATTTCTTTTTAAGGTGCTATCCAGACCGTTGAAAAAGTGGCGGTGAATAGGTAAGAGGATCTAGGAGTCAGGCGTTTGTAATATAGTTCAGTACTCTAGCTAGTTCATTTTTTGCAGGGTCGATTCTGCGGTCGAAGACTGAGGTGCATCGCAGAGAACTCGGCTTTTTTCCGGCAGCCTTTGCTGGGCGCATGTGTTGCGTCTTCGGGTAATTTAACACCTTGTGCAGAATACTGTCCCACTGCAATGTACCGGCTGTGCTCGGAGAGCCGTGCCTGGTGCAGACCGCATAATAAGCAACACAACCTTCTCCTCAAGCAGTATCGCCTTTGCAAAGTTTTGCTGATTCAGCCAAAGCATAGGTTATTGTGAAGAATCCATTCTATTTATATACAATCCCAGCGGAAACGGTTCGTTTTCTCTGGATGAAGACGGTAGAAGAAGGGCAGAGGGATTGCGAAAACGAGGTTTTTGGCGTCTCCCCTTATTCCCCTCGACGACTTTGCGGGACATTCTACTACTCTATGCATTTGAACCATGAATCAGTCATGCACAATTCAGTAGCGCCCTTCTTAACAGTTCTAAGCCCATCTGTCATCGGTTCTTTCAAATGTTCCACCTAACTTTTACCAACGTTCGATATCCAATGACCACCCTCAGCACCTTCGAGGCTCTCGCCACCCCTGAACATACTCTCCAAACTATTGCTGCACAACGCATTTTCCGTAAATGCGAGACTAAATCGATATTTCATATCATCAGCTGCTTCCGCTCCTTTGTGCCCTTATTCGAGTTAGAAAGAGAAAAATTTGTTGCTTGTTAAGCATGATGGCTTTGAAAAAGTGGGAACATTAGGTTTTAAGAAAAGCTGAGAGTACCATCGGACAGAGCAAGAACTGCGCTCCCTAACAAGAAGCAATGAGTAGCTTCTCCCAAGAATTTAGTGGAAAATAATGCCTTGGAACTAACTATCGAAAACGGCAAGAACTTCTCCTTACGAACTAATTCAACAGTGGTCAGCGAGAGCTGGGAAATGAAGCCTACGCAGCGCGATAACCCTTAGCACCACGAGCAGTTGGTGACTCAAAGAAGAACTAGGGTTGAACCTGAACGATCAAAACTGGAACCAGCAGCACGGGCAGGTTTTTCAACACAAAGCTCACGGAGCACCGCCGGCGCGCCAGCTGTCGGCTACGGGTCGGCGTCAATTTGTGACGTTTGGCGCAAGTCCTGTGTGTGGGTGGTCGATATTCTGGCGGGCGGCCACTGATTGTGCCATCGTCCATTGTTGTGGGACGAAGTGGAGGTTCGTGCTTGTATCGATTCCAGTGGTTCCTCTGGCTTTACTAGTGTGTGTACTACGATGAGGCACATGATTTGGAGTGAGTTACGTCGGGTCGGAACAGGCTTTATGCAGTTTTTTGCGCAGTTGCTGTGTTTTCCTTCCATGTTGGAGTGGGTTTTGTGACACCTTCATCCGATCTCTACCTTTTGACGTTTCTCAAGTTACATGTGCTTTCTGTACGAAACAGGGTTTTTGGTAAACTTCAGGCTTTTGTGTCGTGGCTCTTTTCTTCTCTTCCTTCGATTATTTGCAGCTATTTATCACATTAACTGCGGGACACTGCATGTCCTCGTTGAAGAGTTTGTTACTTCTAAAAAGCTTGCAGTCGCACACTCGCATTCCCCAAGCTACATATTTCAGTTCCATGGCTACACTACCGTTCAATGTTGAGGGGGGTAAAAGTATCAGGGCGATAAATGGGATGCTCGGCGGAAGTTATTACGCACAGGACATTTGCGAAAAAAATTGGGTCTATTCCAGTTAGGGGGGCATCATGGTGCGGTGACTCCCAAAAAGCTACGGTAACTCTGAGCCAGGGGGAGTGTAGCCAGCCTAGGGGGGGGGTGAGGGCAGTCACTTGACATGCGTGAGAAGCTGGAATGTTCGAGTTTACATTAGCTCGCCGAGAAACTGCATCATGATGCCCCCCCCTAACTGAATAGACCCCAAGTTGACTAGCCATCGTAAGAAATAGTGCCGAATTTTACACATCTCCAAGTGTTATAACTGAATCGAGTCTAAGTTGGATGATTCAAGTCTCTTCCCTTTTAATGGAAGCTCGAGCGCCATTTCATAGGCCTGGTTTATTAATCCTGGTGTGTTTCTTGTTGCCGTCATACGAAGTTTATTTATTTAACGCAGCTTTAGGCCGCGGTCATACTCTGCGACCGTCTTGCATTCGAGTGTGGTTCAGTGGGACAGAAAACGACTTTTCGCGTTTTGCAGCGCGAAAACATTTTTCGCTGCGGGAAACCCAGATCCAATGATGACCATCGGAGGACCTAGGGTTTTCGCAGCGAGAAAATTTTCGCGTGCCAAAGCGAAAAGTCGCTTTCTAACCTATTGAACCACACCCTTGCAATTCGAGTGTGGGGTAACTAACTCTTGACTATGCGATGTACAAGGAGCCATATCATTTGTACTCCCTGACTAGTAAAGGGCGCCATTCGTTACGGGTCCCACTGCCTCCTGCTACAGTGAACCCTTCAATGTGGAGCGGGGAATCCGTGAGCCAGGGGCAGTGTAGCCAGTCTAGGGGGGTGGGGGTGAGGGCAGTCACTTGACATGCGTGAGAAGCTGGAATGTTCGAATTCAACCGCGATCGCTTGGGATCCCCGCGGGTTAAGGCAGTGGGTCCCGCAACGAATGGCGCCCTATACTAGTCAGTAGGAGTACAAAATGATTACTCCCTTTCTAATCAGTTGTGTGGCGTGAGTCATCGCTCTTCGCAGCGCGTAGCTTTTTTCGCTGCAGGGATTCCAGATCCACCAATGGCATGGGGTAAATTTGAGGCTCCAGCAGCGAAGAAAGGCTCGCGCTGCGAAGAGCGAAGTCGCTTCGTTCAGCGACCCGAAGCGTGTCAGACTTTGCGAATAGCGCTATAGGCCGATGTCAGACTTTGCGAATCGCGCGATTCGCTAGCGTCCGCGGTCGCGTTGCGGTACCAGCCAATTGAGTGATTCACTGGCCGCGACGCGACCGCAGACGCTAGCGAATCGCGCGATTCGCAAAGTCTGACATCGGCTTACGGCAATTCGCAGGCCCAGAGTTACAAACGATGATCGCGGCCTTATTGTGACAAGCGCGTCGTAGTGTGTATACTCGAGATCCGTAAGTTGGGGTAGGCGTGTCACCGGAAGTGACGTGTACTTGATAGAATCTATGTGGATAAGGGGCTTCCAATATACATCGCGAGATATCAGCAAAGCATGCTGGCAACGACTTATCTACGCAACTTCTATCAAGTCCACGTGATACGCCTACCCCAACTTTCGGATCTCGACTGGTACTTCTTTGTTCACAAAAATGGTCGGGAAAGTGTGTTGTCATTATATCTCCTTAAATTGAGGCATCGATTGAAGTCAAGGCTTCAAAAGAATTTTAGTGGAGCAAGCTGCTCAGAGTAGCGTAGCTTTTGTGGACACAGCCGCGTGTTGTATTATGTGAACACCCAGACTGCGAGGCTTCAGGACGCCATCACTCGGCCGTTGCTCCATAAATAATTCAAACGGCTTAATTTCCGCGAAGCAAGTGATGGTCATTAAAGCGTATAAGCCGACCACCCACCAGGGAACATGGTGTGAACTGTTCGCTTGGCAAAGAGATTCGCCGCTCTCGCCTCATTATAGCGAAACGCACTGCTCGTCAGCATCTTGAGTGCCAGTAGAATTCTTTCTTCCGTTCGCCCCATCAACTAAGCCATCACACACTCTCTAAACTCCCCGAGCGCTTCATTATGGGATGCCGATAGCTCTGCTAGCTTTGTTTTTGCTACATCTATAATTTTTTTCTATCGACTGAAATTCTCGTCATTCTTCTGATGGTAGCATATTTGATCAGTGTTTGGACCTGTTTTCAACATTGGAATGTTTTCGTCCAACTGCATTTCATTTTTTCCACATAACTTCGCGTCATTATGACTTATTTTTCCCGTTATTGTGACTGTCTAAAGCAACTGGAAGCAGCCATAACCCCAATCGAGCATCCCTTTTTGGCGATTGTATTCTTGCAAGTTGCTTATACTGTTCTGGGCCGTATGCTATGCTCCTACAAGAGGTTGGCCTTTCTTGAGGCTGCCCCTATCCCGAAGGCGGTCGTATGCAATGTTTGCGGGCCCCTCAGGGGATGCGGGCACACAGAGTATCGATGGCGCGAAGAGCTTGGCAGATTGCTAGATATTAGCTTCTAGGCTCAGAAGTCGACCAATTATAAGGTTTTAGGGTGCGTTTGCAGGGTAGGTACCTGATATGGAGATTTGCAATGTATAGCTTGATAGTGAAGGAACGAAACATAAAAGTTCTTCGGCTTCCTCTAAATCATGGACATGATCAGCATTGTCTTCCATAGGGCATCGGAAGGCGTGATAATAAGGCTCAATTTTCTATTATCGTTTGCATCATTTACTGAGATCGTATAAGGCAGAGTACATCTTACTAAGTGGATGATGTTCCTGAGAAAGTGTTCTTGAATACGAAAAATCTGCAAAAGTGTAGAAAATATAGCGTATCCAATCCATTATTATTTATTAATTTATTTATCATTTATTTATTTAAATGCCCCTTAGGTGCGCCCCAAAAGACAAGCTCATAATTATTATATCAAGTCTTGTGTGCGATGTTGCTATAAGTATAATA